GTCCTCCTATGACCAGCACCGTACAAGCTTGCTACCCCCCGCACTGCGGGATCCAGACCAAAAACTTCCGCTCCACCCCTTCCCAGTACCACTCAGCGCTACGCTGTCCTGCTCGGCACTCCTCGGCTACAGGTTGTCTCGGTTGCCCCACTCCTTGCATGTTGATGATATTTTAGTGGGTAGTAGTCGAGTAATTTATAAATGCCTCAGTGTCGTTCACCACCCTACGAGAGTAGTTGAACGGCACCCCAATGTCTGCACCACCCCCTCCTGGCACCACACGGCCCTCTCGGTTCTAGTCAAGACCACAGGCTCCCCACACGTTGTGTTTCAGTGGTAGTAGAGTTATTTAAAAGCACCCCCAATGTCTGCCTCCCCCCCCCCGGTACCACGCGGCCCTATTCGTCCCCAGTCGGCACCACAGATTGTAAGGAAGGCACCCCAATGTTTGCCGCGGCCCTTCCCGGCCCCACGAGCCTACTCGGCACGACAGGCTGTATTTCAGTAGTAGTAAATAAGTTTTAAGCATGTCTGCCCCACCCCCTCCCGGCACCACGCGGCCCTACTCGGCACCAAAGGTTGAATTTCAGTGCTAGTAAAGTAGTGTAACCCCCTCCCGCGCACCATGCGGCACCACGCAGCACCCCCCGGCCCTACTCTGCCCCACTCGGCACCACAAGCTGTATTTCAGTGGTAGTAGAGCAATTTAAAGGCACTCCAATGTCTGCTCCAACCTCTCTACGGACCACGCGGCCCCGGGGCCTTATTCGTATTTCCGTGGTAGTAGAATAGTTTAAAGGCACCCCAATGTTTTGCCCCCCCCCGGAACCACACGGCCGCACGCGGCCCTACTCGGCACCAGAGGCTGTATTTCAGTGGTAGTTGAATAGTTTAAAGGCACCCCAATGTCTGCCCGACCCCTTCCTCGAACCCACGCGGCCCTACGCGGCCCTAATCGGTTCCAGAGGCTCTATTCCAGTGGTAGTCGAGTATTTTAAAGTTGTTTAAAGGTACTCCAATGTTTGCATTTAAGAAACTCCCATCCCTCTCCCGGCACCACGCCACGCCACGCGGCCCTTCTCGGCCCTGCTCGGCACCTGTTGAGTAATTTAAAGCATTCCAATGTCTGCCCCCACCTCTCCACCATGCGGCACCACGCGGCCTCCCGGCACCACGCGACCCCACGCGGCCTTACTCGGCCAAACTTGGCACCAGAGGCGAAAAGGGCCGCGTGAAGGCGGGACGGGGTGGGGCAGTCATTGGATACTTTTAAACTACTTTAAATCTGGTGCCGAGGGGTCGGTACCAGAGGGGGGTGGAGTAGACATTGGGGTGCTTTTTAAATAACTCTACTAGCACTGAAATACAACCTTTGGTGCCGAGTAGGGCCGCGTAGTGCCGGGAGGGAGTGGGGCAGACATTGGGCTACCTTCAATAACTTCAAATTCCTGTACTACCACTGGAATACAGCTTCTGGTGCCAAGTAGGGCCGCGTGGGGCCGCCTACGGTCGCTTGGTATGGGGAAAAGGTCTGGCAGATATTGGCGTGCCTTGAGACCACTATACTACCACGCGGCCCTACTCGCCCCCACAGTAATTTAAAGGCACTTCAATGTCTGCCCCACCCATTCCCCCTATTCGGCACCACTGTCTGTAATTCAGTGGTAGTGGAATCGTTTTAAGGCACCCCGATGTCTGCCCGACGCGCGCTAATCGGCCCTACTCGGCACCAGAGGTTGTATTTCAGTGGCAGTAGAGTAGTTTAGAGTGGTGTAAAGGTTCCCCCATGTCTGCCCCACCCCCTTCCAGTATCACACGATCCCACGCCGCCCCAGCAGCACCCCAATGTCCGCCCCACCACCACGCGGCACCACTCGGCACCACAGCCTGTATTTCAGTCGTAGTAGAGTAGTTTAAAGGCACCCCAATGACTGCTCCACCCTCCCACACGGCGGTATCAGGGGGGGGGGGGGGGGGGGGGGTCAAACCGGGGGGGGGGGGGGGGGCGAGTGGGGATGAAACCGCGCAGGGAGGGGGGGGCGAGTGGGAGTGAAACCGCGGAGGGGGGGCGAGTGGAGGGGGTGAAAGGGGGCCCGACTCGGCACCAGAGGCTGTACTTCAGTGCCAATAAAGAAGATTAAAGGCACTCCAATGTGTACTCCACCCCGTCCCGGCACCATGCGGCACCACGTGGCTCCACTCGGCCCTACTCGCAACCACAAACTGTATTTCAGTGGTAGGCACCACGCCCTACTTGGCGCCGCAGGCTGTATTTCAGTGGTAGTAAGGCACTCCAATGTCTGCCCCGCTCTACTCGACAGCACAAGCTGTATTTCAGTGGTAGCAGACTAGTTTGAAGGCACCCCAATGTCTGCCCCAACCCCTCCCGGCACCACGCTCAGCATCCCAATATCCACCCCACCCCCTCCCAGCACCACGCGGCACCACGCGTCCCCACTCGGCCCTGCTCGACACCACAGGCTGTATTTCAGTGATAATAGAGTAGTTTAAAGATACCCCAACAATTATTCACCGCTCCCAGCACCAGACGGCCCTACTCGGCACCAGAGGTTGTATTTTCGTGGTAGTAGAGAAATTTAAACGCACTTTATATAATAGGCACCAGAAACTGTCTTTCAGTGCTAGTGGAGTTGTTTAAAGGCAACCCAATGTCTTCTCTACCCCGGCTGCACTCGGCACGACAAGCTATATTTCAGTGATAGGCTCCACGCGGCCCTACTCACCACAGGCTGTATTTGCCCCATCCCCTCCCGGCACCAAGCGGCCCTACTCGGCAGCACAGGCTGTATTTCAGTGGTAGTAGAGTTGTGTAAAGGCACTCCAATGTCAAGTCCGACAAGCCATGAGCTCGCCAGCCTCGAGTCCGAAGGGAAGAAAAAACTTTAAACCACGACAGCTAGGCCTCCAGGCCAGCTGAGTCCCAACTGTCACCCCTTGGAAGTCTCCTCTAACACGTTTTCTTTATAGGATATTATGCATTCTTCTCCTTCTGACCACTACACAGACTATACATTCTTTCTGGGTGCAGATAGCAGTGCAAGCAGCGATCCGAAATCCCGTCAGTGTCGTTTCCTCGTCGGACTGATCAATCCGTCAATCCTTAGGCGGATGTAGCCGTGAGCCTGGAGTATCGAATCTTAGATTCGAAGACTCAGTTGCCCACTTGGGAAGTAATGGCCCCAATTGACCCCATAGGTAAAGATACAGACGTCGTATGCATCGGCGTACTTGTTGTACCCCTGTCGCACAGACATCCCTCTCGCACAAACATCACCCCTTGGCTGTTGTCACCAGGTCGACTGAAACCATCCCGCAAAAATCGGCCCCGAACTTGAAGCTTAAAGCAAACACTTAAAAGACGGCTAAGGCTTAGACGGCTTAGCGGCTTAGAGTTTAAGGGTTTGGCCCTTTGGCTGTATGTGTAGGCAGGGTTTATGATTCAAAGTTAAAGGGCAACTTAGTTGGACCAACGGCGGATGGATCTAACCATATACCATGTGCTATCTCCTCACTTTCCCTTGATCGCAGCAGCCTTCTTGACCAGAAGTGGCTCACACTTGATGTTATTCTTTTGAAAGGCTCCAAGGCATCGGCTTACCAAGCCCATCCGTGTCTCACCGGGCTGCAGGTCTCTGCAAAGAGCTTGGGCAAGGGTCATGTTCCTTTGCAAGGCTCGGAGCTGAGCCATTGTGATCATCGCACCCGCCTCGCTGCATGGCACTCCACGTCCTGGGCAAGCAACTTCTTCGCATCGGTCACGACACCGCTAACCAATGCCTTGGAAGCTTCACCCACCCACGAAGGAGTCGGCAATCCTTGCACATCCTGCAAGAGCCCGATCAAGTCGATGAAGAATCGTTCTGTTTTACTGGAAGTCATAGCAATCTGCCTCATGGAGGGGTCCAAACACAAAGCTTCAACAGCCTTCTTGTCAAGGACCTCTTGTCCGAACATGTCTAGGCTATGTTTGCTGGCAACCTGTTGGTACAAGCTTGCAAGCGAAAGCTGCACATCCCCGATCTCCCTGCCAAAATTGCTAATGACATCAGCAACGTGGTCCTTCATGATTTTCTGGAGCTGCTTGTAGTAGGCGTCGATGCCGTCGAGCTCGCCGACGATCTCGCGGGAAGCGGACAGCATGGCCTCGAAATCCACCACAGCCTTATGGAACTTGGGCAAAACAGAACGGATGCACTGGAGCTTCGAACTCCTGACAAGATTTCATTGAAGCCCGGAAACTTGTCGTTCGTGACCATGCAATGCTTGAAGAAAGCAACCATCTTAGCGACCGTTAGAAGAGCTCCAGCCAGGCACGGGAAGACTGCATGGACTCGCCTGGACTTCCCCTCCTGGGCGCCGTGCACGGCGATGTCCACAAGCTCCTTGCCGATGTGCTTGACATAGGAGTGGAAAACGAAGCCGAAGTTCAAGGTCTGCTTGCAATCCTGTGTTTCCCCTGCGGCTGTCTCCGACAAAGAGGTCGTGTCACCCAGAACATCTACACTAAACGAAGCATCAGCATTGACTTCTGGCTGCAACAACTGCTCCAGGAAGGCGGCGTATGTCGCAGATGTCTGTGCGAGCCATCCGCAAATGGATCTTGTCATGCCTTCTTGTAGAAGAGAGAAGGAAACTTCGAGGAACGGCACGGTGCGGCCAATCACTTTCTTTGACCCAGCATCAAAGAAGATCGCAAAGACATCCGCCAGCGGCTGGTCGGCGAGCACCTCCTCATTCGTGTTTTTTTTGGCGATGAAATCTGCGACCTGGGGGAACGCCGCCTGGAGGCTCGTGGCACACTTTGCCACCGTCTGTACGATGCCATCCAACTCCTGAGAAGTGTATTTGGAACCCTAAGCCCAAACCCTTAGCCTGAACCCTAAACCCTAAGCCGAAGCCTGAGCCCTACACCCCAAACCCAAAGTCCCAAAAACTTGAACCTAAACCTAAACCGAAAACTTAAGTCAACGAACCCTTCAACACCCCATTTCCACTACCCAGTCCCTCGATGCCTCAGCCAGCGTCTTGCCCAAGATCTTCACAAGACCGACTTTACTGAAAGGCTGGAAAGCGCTCAGCTGTGCGAATGATGTGGAAATGGATGATGTCAAGCCAGTCATCTCCTCTTGTGTGCCACCCTTGACCAACTTTGCGACATCGGCAGCCATCTTCTCGAAGCTGTGCTTGTACTTCAACTGCATAACCTCCTGAAGCACGGAATATAGCTCCATGACCTTGGATCTCACCATCTCCATCCGCTCGCGAACAGCCGGCAATGCCTGTAAGTTCTCACTTCCTTTTTCTTGCACAACCAGCCACTTGCCCACCATGTCTGCTAACTTGGAAACCTGCGGGATGCTGATGTCTTGATTTTCCTTGAGCACAGACTCCAGACGGTGCAGGCACCGCCGGCATCGAGGTCAGGAACAAGTCTATCATGGCCTCGGCGCATTTCCGCACTGCTGACTCCCGATGAGAGCAATGTCGCTGACCAACAGAAACATCCAAGCTGGAACAGATGTGACACGGGGGGCCGACAATGGGTCCGTTAAACATGTCCAAGAAAGTAGCTGCTGCACGATCAAAAGCGGATTCGCCGTCGTCCTGAGCAGTCTCTCTGCGTTCATCTTCCGGTGAGCGACAGTCTTTATCAAGCTTTTTCCAAAAGCGAAGGTAGCTGATCAATTCACGTAGTGCAGGATTCGGCTGAACGTGTGAGGCGACGTCGCTAGCAGTAACCTGCTGGCGAAAAACCAGATTTCGATCAAGCCAAGAACGGACAGCCTGTCTCATTCGAAGCCAATACCCCAGGTTGCGGATGAATACAGTGAGTCCGTAAATCCTGTTCAATGAATTAGAACCGATGAGCCCCAACAGTGCAGCATTGTTCAACTGCACCGCATGATTCATGCATCTGCAATGTGCAAACAGGACAGGATGCCGTGAGCCTGGCGGCCCGAAAACACTCAACTTGGCCTTCTGAGACAGATGTGCCAACAGCCTCAAGTTGCTGCTTGCACCGTCTGTCTCAGCTATGTCGATGTTGACAAGTGCAGTTCTTCGAAGCAGCCCCACAAGTGCATTTATGCACTTGTAAGCTGGGTGGTGCAGCAGTGCGTAATACTGATGCTCCGCACCTGTCGCCAGAAGTGTCACCGGAGGCATCACCACTCGGCACACAACATTGGTGCCATTGGGCCAAACCACCACTAACCTCATACGACAAACCAAGACTTGCCAGCTGGAGCGAACACGGCAACCAGACTTGTCAGCATTCATAGTACACTGAAGCTGCGTCTCATCCCACTTGAAATGCTTTATGACAAGCAACGGCGGCTCAGCCAGACACCATTGTGCAAGTTTTGCAAGAAAGTTGGCTTGATGATTCATAAATGCGGCGCTTACTGTGATCTGCATGCGCCTGACAGTTGATTTGGCCACCCCTACATGCAGAGCCAACGAAGCATTGCGATGAATCTTTCCAAATGAAGCCTGCAAAAATTGCGACCACGACAGACTTCGCTTGTATCGATTCCCCTTGGTACTGACTTGGGTCAGTTGAAGAGCGAGGCCCATGGCCTGTGGGGCACGAGCAACCCGAAGCTTGATGACTTCAGAATTCAATACGAACTGACTTTCTGAAAGGATATCGCTGACATCCTTGGAAAACTGCTCCACCCGCTTCGACAGCTTCACCGATCCTGAAGATGTGCAAGAACGAAACGCAAAGATCATTTGGATGCCGAAGTTCTCTGACAACATCGAATCAAAGAACCTTCATCAACCCCACTTCTTTATCGGACTAGCTACCCCAAAAGCCTACCCCAAAAGCCTAAGCAAGTAACATATAACATACACTTTGAAAACGAGCATCTACAGTTTTAGTAGCCAATCAAGGCTTAACTACGGCTGATGGACAAAATCCTGCATGACCCTAAGGACTCTAAACTATGGGAATTATGCTTATAGTGGGTAATGCAGGATTTTGTCCATCAGCCGTATGACGCTGAGTTGCTCATATGACAAGTCAACAGCGATCGTTCAGCGAAGCCACCATGACGGCCTTTACCAACCTTCCCCTTCATCTGTGGATATCTTGTACGTGCTCGGAAAGTAGGTTGCACCACGGGCACTACAGCAAGTTCTGCTTCTGGCGCAAGCAACTCCATTGCCGCAGCGCCGATTTCCGCCACTCTGAACTCACTGCCGTCACCATCACGTTGGACATCACATGTTTCTTCATCTTCCAGCAAAGATAAGAAGTCGACATCCATGGCAGGTAGTATACCGGAGAGTTGGAATACGGGAAAGAATCAAATCTAAGCCTTAGATTTGGGGATAGTATACATATATCATATACATACCTGCTACAGATAGATAACACAGATACACACAGATATATATCTAATAGGATTCGGAATGTCGAGCCGTTGCAACCGCGACCGTGTCGCGTGCAATCATCCTGACAGGCAGCAAACCTAGCCGAAGTACAGAATTCAGCCGTATAAGAAGGGGCCTTTGAATGGATAATAGAGAACCTCTGAATGTATAACCAAGGGCCCGAGAATGTATAATGGAAGACCTCAGAATGTATAATAAGGGACCTCTGAACGTATAGTAAGGCACGCCTGAATGTATAGTGAGAGACCCCCGCTGGCTGGATAGATATCTTCTAAAGACAACCCTCAAGAACGTGGTAGAGGGCACTACCAAGTCACCCCTATAGCAGCTAGGCCTCCAGGCCAGCCGAAGCTGACCCAAAATCCCAGCCACTACCAACCCCAACGTTTCTAAAGTCCCCGCGCAGCGTAGCCATTTTACGAGACCTGTTCTTTGTGAGAGTGTAACCGCCTCAACCCTCAAGTACTATCATACAAGACTACAACCTCCTTATACCTTTAGGAGTCGACGGCAGTAGCGGCAACCATTAAATAGACTTTGCAAATTATTTATATACAAACCAAATACCTTTACCAAAATCAATATCTATATACTAAAAATCTATCAATACAAGTTTAAAGTGACCGACTACAATACGGAAATGATTTCGGATCCAATATCGTAAAAAAAATCTATATCTAAATCTGAAGCGCCACTAGTATGGCAAAGCCGGAACGACTTAAAAAAAGGGAATCCCATATCCTTTTCGTCAGAAAAATCAAACCCTCCCGAGAAATTATCAAATAAAGTGGAGAATAAGGGTTGGGGGGAAAGTATAGATCTACGAGGAGTTAATCAATTTTGGCCCAAGTAATGATCATAATATAGCCCAGATTCAATATTTTTAGAATACTTGTGTTTTCTTCGTCGGTGCTTCTCCAAATTTCGAGTATGCACCACACTCAAGTGCAGATTTCGGCTGCGTTGACTTTCACAGCAATAGGATGCTCGCCACTGAAAGCCTGAATGCTCCCAAGCCGTGCCTGGGATTTCGGACATGAGAGTCCTTCTTCAGGGTGCACAAGACAAGTGGCTGTCGGAATTAGCGGCGAAAGTCGGTGCCTTGCTCGAACACGACTCATACTGTGCACGTGCCGGCCGCTGCAATCAGGTCTGCTCCTGCGCAATCTCCAAGCACCGCGACTGCTGCACACCCTTTGCGCAGCGATGGATGTGGTGCGACACTTGATGCCGGTGGTCTGGGTCGCCAAACTGTTGCCCCACTGCCTTCCTGAACAAACTAACCTGTTAACAACCGGGGTGCAGTGTCACAAGGAAATCTTTCTTAGAGCGTCGTTGGCCCGGGGACACCATCTGCACCGTGACCAACCGTGAGTGTGCGTACCTTTCAACCCAGCACCGATTTGTGCGGGCGAAAAGACACTAAAGCCTCGTTGGCCAGAAGAGAGGGCAGCGAACGTGGGTGTGCGTAGCTTTCAACGCAAAACCGGCCTCTGCAAGAATACCCAAGGGCCCCGGCTGGCCGGTGCTTCTTGCTCTTATCCACCGACTCTGAGAACAGACCTTCAGGAATGCAAGCTTGGGTCCGCGGCCCGCACGCGCGTGCCGCGCGCGCGCGCCGCCCGTGCATTGTCCGCTAGGACGACAAAAAGCAGAAGCCGCCGAGTGAGCAGTCGCACGCGGGCACGCCCGGATGCAAGCACCTTTACATGCTGGGCTTGACACTTCAAGCTCTGAAAACGAGGCTTTTGGCGACCGTGGGCTAGGCGGCTCGGCAAGAAGCCTTCATCGAGGACAGGCAGTGCACCTGTCAACCTCATCGGCTGGAGGTTGGGATGAGGTTGACGGCTGATGCAATGCCTCTGACCCTCTATCTAAAAGCCGGCATGCTACCTCGAAAAGGAATAGAAAAGTACCTGTACTACAAGAAGGTTGAGCTACGAGGACATCGAAGAATTCTAAGCAGGCCACCAAGTTGTGTCTGGCTGGACGGGGACGATCTGGCGGATGACTGCTTGGCCCTTGTCGGTGCCGCAAGCCGGCTCCGAACCGTCGTGCTCTCAGAGGTGGGACAAGATTCACAGACCATGCATGTTGCTGGACTGCTCACCACGACATGTGGATGCTGGGATGAATGCTGTCACAGGGATCAGCTGCAAAAAGCGTCGGTCTCACATGCTGTGGCACATCCTAGCATGCCTGTCACTCCTACATGGCAAGCTTCTGTCACGAGAAAGCCCAGAACTGGCAGAAGTCCCAAGCCAATCAGTCTATTGCATCTCGAGACGGAAGCTGCGCCGCACGATGCATGATCTGGCACAAGCTTTGGTAGCGCCATGCACCTTGTAAAGCTCCCTGAGAATCCTTTGTCGCCTTTCGCCATCTACTTCGCCTTCTGCTCAAAGCACGCAGCGCTGCAGCGCTGATACTTGCTTGATACTGCACCTAAGGATCATCTGATGCTCCACTGCGTCTCTATGCTCGAGCCTCCGCGGCTCTGCCCGGATGGACGCTGCAGGTGGACTCTGGGATTTATCAATGCGGGGTTGCAAAACGGCTCCACCTCTTTCTTTCGTCTTGAACCTTACTGTAAGGGCCAGGTGGACCAAACACCGCATGACATGAGATGGTCGTCGTTCTGAAGGACGGCGCCGGCGAGGGTCATTCTGCTCGTGTTGCCGCACAGACATGCACTCGCAGCAAGCAGACCCCAGTATGCATCAAGGCTGCCCCAGTGCAACGGCGATTCTGCATGCTGCAGAAGAGTTCATAAAGCCGTGTTGCGTGCAAAGACCCGTTCTTTCGCAGGAGTGACTTGCAGCACCCGCCCGGCCCCAAAAGCGGCGACAAATCCTGCCGTGGTGGAAATGGCAAACTTTTGCTACAGAATTGCCCAGAAGCAACAAACGACCTGGTGATGTCTCGAAGGACGGAAACGGTTTTTGTACAAGTCTCTGCTCAGCATTGCCTCAAGCAAGCCTTGCGCGACCGACCGCATGCTCTCAGTCGGTACACAGAGAGAATGGTTGAGCAAGGCTTAGCACCTGAGTGGACGATGGGGGCGATATATCATTCCTGAGTACCCAACATGCTTCACAGTACTCTCACCGAGCTCGCCGCCGTGGCCATGGTGTCTTAAACAAGCGAGAAGGTCTGCGAGTTCATCGACACCTCCACGATGATTGTGGCTCAGGCTTTGTCGCAAGCAGTGCTTTGAAAGCCATATCTGTGCAAGCGATGGGATGATATGCTGTCCGGATCTCAGTGCCGATGCTTCAGGAAACATTGGCAACCAAGGTCACTCGGTGCCAAGGGCGATGTAATCAACGGCCACCGAGAGCTTTGGCTCAAGACGTGTTGAGTCCACCCTCAAAAGGAACCCGAAACGGTCACGAGTTCAAACTAGGTGTGTGTGTGGTCAGGAGTGCTTTGTGGGATTATAACACGCCGCTAACATGAACATCATGGTGCAAGCAGGCTTGCGTACTCGTAAAGCTTACACGCGGTAGAGTGCACGGCAATCTGGTACTGGTATCAAGTAGTCCTGTCCGACCTGTCCCCAGCCACCACACAACGAGTACAGCCAAAGCAGGACTGGCTTCTTGTGCAGGCCAGCATGGTCGAAGCTGGCCGGAGCAGCTGAGTGAGAAGGGCAAGACACAGCCGGAGTCGCTGAATGCAAGGTGCCTGGCACCATGCATCTTGCGCGAGCTTCCGGAGCCCTGTGCATTTCGAGCGCATCGCAGACGACCCTTCGTTACCCTTCAGCGATGTAAGAAACCTGGCAGGGTGGCCGCCACCGCTCCCTGGCCCCCTCGAAGTGGTAGATCTATATTCGAGTGCGTCTGCATCTAGAAGTTTCAAGCCAGCTTATCGCTACTCGAGGCTTCTTGCAGTCTTTCAAAAACCGCCAGCGGTATCACTCACAGATGCCTACAAGGGAGCTCAAGCCCGAATCTTGGCTGACACATCGTTGCAACACATCTGCACACCCAGAGCCACATCTGTCATTGAGTCATTCGATCCCCCTTTCCTGAGGGCCCGATCTTCTGACGGCGTTCAAGCACTGCTGATGCCAGCAGTCAGGGGGAGAGACCGGAGGCAAATCCGGTACACACGCCCTCGGCGAAGTGACGGAGGCCTCCTCTTTAAAAAATGGTGGAAAAGCACTGACACCCGAAGCCCTAACAGCTTAAACCGCAGCGCTGTTACAGAGTCGTGTCCTGTGCCGTCTGCAGACACCAGCGCCAAGTCCTGCGAGGCAGTGGGGGAGTCCGACAAATCACTGTATGGACCACTACAAGGAGTAGGACAACAGGTACGATCGGGAGTGCCATCCGACAGGTCGTCGTTTGGCGCCCACTTCACACTAGTAGTCGTGAGCAGAAGCCGATTTTGCCGGGCGGAAAGCACGTACAGTACAAACGCCGGTGTGTTGCTATGTCAAGTAACCAAGTAACCTAATGATGGCAGTGCGTTGCTCGTTGTGCTGCGCTCTTGCCTCACCTCGTCTGTGCAAGTAACAGTGATGGCAATAGTGCCAGAAGCACAGCATGGCTCGATGTGCCGCTGCAGCTCACTGGATCGTAGCTGCATGGTTCAACACATCTCGCTGATTGTTTCACTACCCTAAACCCGGAACCCTAAATGTGCTAATCCAACCTCAGGCTGCCTCTTCAAGGGG